GGCGGAGGTACGGCAGAGCTCTTCTCAAGAGAAGAGCAGGGACAGAGCGCGGAGCCTGTTCAGGCACAAGGCCTGCTTTGGTAGCAGATCAGGTTGTTCAGGAGATTACGTGAGTTCTTATAGCCACTGTGAGCGATTGTTCCCTGCATTGTTTACCTATGGCTGTGGGAGGTGACTCTTAGTCTTGGAAAGCTGGAATTTCCTGCTCTGTATATTTTTAATCCCTTAGACGCTCCTGTGAGACTGGAAGTATTCCTAGAAGACAGGGGAATGAAGACCTTTCCCTTCCAACCGTAGCTTTTAGGGAAACAAGCAAGCTGCTAGTGTTTGTTTTCCTGCTCAGGAGCAGTTTATCACTAAATCTGGGAGACTTGTTACTGTGTTTATAAACTTTTCAGTGGGGATCAACTCTTGTGATGTGTTTGCACAACACCTGGCACAGCTTAGCTTTGATCTCAGCTGCAGTACTAATGTGCAGATACTGTTATTCAGCATTTAATACATTTGTAATTTCCCTCCCAGATTTCAGAAATAATATTCCAAAATCTATGCAGTGCCGCTTTTGTGGGAGCAAATTACTTAGAGGAATTTCTGAAAATGAAATGGAACGGTCCTTGTCAGTTAAGAGCCAGGTTTTAGATCGTGATGTATCTTCTTTATACTCTAAGAGTGTATATGCATACAGTAACTTGTAAATATATTATCGTAAATAGTTAGCTGCCTTTCACAACATTATTTTTGGTCTGTTTTGACAAAGAGGTTCATAAACCTCTGGGAGCCTTTACCAAGTGTTTAAGTAGACTGTCAACCGACTCTGAAATCGGTAGCCAAGTTACAGCTCAGCTACCAGGTATAAGATTAATGCAGGAATTACTGGGCAAAATTTGCAGGCTAGGGTTATGAAGGCAATCAGAATGGTCACTTCTGAGCTTTTAAATAATTATCTATAATCTATGAAAGATTTTTCACAATAGAAACGAGCTGGAACTAGAACTTTGCCGAGAGTCAGCGTAATAAACATCTTCTGTGGTGGCTGGCAGCAGAATCAGCTGTAATGCTCATCATTCATGAACTATGCTATTTAGCACAGGTTGAGGACTGGAGGAAGGGAAGGGTTGTCATCACCGTTGCCTAATGGAGATTAAGTCATTTGTCCAAGGTCATGCAGGAAGTAGAATAAGATAGGGTGTCCCAAAGGTACAGATCGGTGGTTTAAATTTGTTCTTCCTATCTGCTAATCTTTAAATATTCATAATAGCCAGATAATTTAAAAAAAAAAAAAAGGAAAAAGAGAAAAGTAAAAGAGAGAGTGCCATTGCTTTAGCAGCAGGCCATCCTGTAATGTACTTGTTTCCATTATGTAGAGTATTAATTTTAAGAAGGTCTGTATCTTAGGAGGGAGAGCCTGGAGCAAGATTCCTTCATGCCACTTGAACATCTTTTTCATATGGAACTGGCTTTGAATAAGGATTGTAAAATTATTGCTTGAAAAGCTGGAAGCTTCTTAAGGGGTCTTTATAATTACAGAGCAACAGCCAGCCACCCCTCTTTTTCATCCCTGGCCAGGGCTGTTGTTTGGTCAAAATCCAAATCCTGCTGACTTTATTCATAGGGTTGCAGCACACTCGGTGAACAGCCACATGCAAATCACTTCGCAGGCTGGCATGAAAAAATATTATTTGTTTCATCCTCCATCATCCTCTCACAGCGTCTGTCGGCCAGCCCTCACAGGAGCTCGAGGGAGGTGTTTCAACCAAAGACCTGAGAGGAAAGGCAGCTCCTTGAGAGAGGGGTTATGAATTGGCCAGTTGTCGCTTACACCTCTCCCTCAGGACTTGCAGCTTCTCCCCTCCAAGGGCACGGGCCCGTAGCAAGGCACCTGGCAGGGTTCGGCCGGCGCAGGTGCGATTGAGTCGTCGGTGCGCAGTGCATTAGCTTAGTACGCCGTGGGGTTTATGCCATCCCAGCCAGAGACAGGAGAGGAAAAGTCTCCTCCCACACACTTTATCTGCACATGAGTACAGATCAATGATTTGTTTTCTGATTATTTAAAAAAAAAACCAAAACAACAAAAACAAACTATGACAGAATTGAATTTTTCATGTAAAAGTATTCTTTTTTTTAGACCAGATAAGAGAGAAACACAATGCTGGAAAGGTTTCTTTCCAACTAAACCCTGGCATGTTTTAGTTAAAAAGTAAAACAAATGTCTGCTGATTTGTTCATTCCTGTTTCTCCTGCCCTCCACCATTTTCGTACAGATCCCTTAGTCTCACCCCACCAGCCTCCCAGCCAGCTTAACTCAGCTGCTTACACGAAATTAATGGAAATTAATCAGGCAAAACAAATATGGTATCAACCCCAATTCTCCAGCCAGTAGCAAAGATCTCACATGTGAACAAAACCTGTTACCAGTCCCCGGTTGCGTATACGTGAACGCATTCATTTCCGGAGAATCGTCCGCTATTGGCGTTCGGCAGAAATCACGCAGGCTTTTCCAGCAGGACAGAGCCAGCGCTGGAGAGGAGCCGAGCAGGTATCGCTCTGCGTCTGCAGAGCTGGCGTGGGCTGATTTTGAGAGCCCACCTTCGTAAGCAATCCCACGGAGGCAAGCGGCAGGGGTAAGTTTGCACAGGGAGGGCACGTTGGCATGCTCCGTCCCTGCAGCCCGCCCAGCAAACCACTAGCTGAGTTTAAATGCAGTTGCCGTAGCACGGTTTTTTTAAAACGCTGTTGTAGTATCATTCTCTTGGCTGGAGGAGAATTTGGTTTTTTCCTCAAGAATCCTGTGATTAAGGCACACCATAGAAAAAGCTCTCATGTTTCATTCCTGTCACTCTAGCTGTAGAAGACACTTCTCGCAGGGAAGTCCCTGTCAGAGACGGTAACGGGAACCTTAAGAAATGTGCCAGGAAAATCCACCTGCGCAGCTGTACACAGCTTAGCTTTACAATGATCATATTCAAACAATTCATTTCACATCTCTAAATACACTTGGAAAGCAACGGAGAACAAGGCTTGAAATCAACCCTCCAAGCATGTAAGAAAATTTAAATAATGGCAGAAAGAAGGGCCATAGCAATCATGAGTTAGATTAATACTTCCCATCTATGTTTCTTGCTTTCTCAACATAAAATGTTTTTTAAAATCACAACAGATTTTGTTAAAAAAAGGTTTCATTTAATTTTAATGTTTCCACTGAAAACCAGACATGACGAAAGTGTTTCAGTTAGAGGTAAATGAGTGGTGGTGGTGGTGAATCCAGGAAATAGAAATACAGTTGCTCCCTTTTTTGTGTTAGAACATTTTGAAAAAACTTATTTTAGTATTTAAAAAAAAAAGAAATATTTTTCTTAATTTCCATTTTTCAAGAAACGTTACCTTATCTTTTCCAGTCCTCTCTCATTATCATCAGCGTCTGCTTCTGTAACAAAACCTCACTCAAAGCAGTTCTATGTACAATGTGCACGCAGGGCTCAATACTTTGTGTGAAGGTAGCTGATAAACTCTTAAGGTCCACAGACTCCCTATAGCAATAATTCATCACACAGAACTGGATGAATAGGATAAGAAATAACAGATCAAATATTTTTTTTTTTTTCCCCAGAAGTGACAAAGGGTAATTTTTACTTTAAAAAAAAAAGCTCACATTTACCTTAAAAAAAAAAAAAAAAAAAGCCATCAGAAAAAAAAAGACTACTACTCAAAACTGTCTATTTACAATCTGTCAACCGGCCAGATACTCATTTACTCTAGTTCCACTGAATTAATTACTTGTACCCATAGACAACCTGACCAGGACTTTGTATTACTGAAGTCTACTTTAACAAAATTAAATACCTATCTCTTTTCAAGTGGAGACTTGCAAAATAACAACAATTTCCCTGGTGATATGCTGTGAAAGTTGAAGTTTCCTACACTTTGGCATCTCATGAAGTTCAGCAACACTTGCACACACAAACCTCAAGATTCACACCTGAGCAATACGACTTGTCCTCCCAGGAACAGAAGAGCATGCTGCAGAGAACAGGCAAGCTACATTACTTACAGCTCAGGAAAGACCAGAACACATGCACACCTCTACTCCAGAGAGGTTGTTTTCGTTTGGTATCAGATAAAACCCAAAGGATGAGTAAAATAAAGAAGGCAAGGTCAAGACTAATCCTTGTCCCATCAAAACAACACAAACTGCTTTTGTGTTCAATGGAGTCAGAAGTTCACCCAAGGTTTTAGAACAGTGACGTCCCCCAGTGGGGCAGTGAGGCCAGCTGTGAACAATAACAAGACCTGGACACAAATTTTGCAAAAGACAACAAATTCTTTAAAAGGAAAAAAATAAGAAGGCTCTAAAATACTTAATTAAAAAAAAAAGGGGGGGGGGGGGAGAAAAAAACCAAAAAGCACCTTTAGAAAGAGAGCAGAATGGCTCAAAGCAAAGCAAGTTTGGTAGTGGATAAAGCACAGTGCCATTGACCTTGGAAGTCTGTTGAAAACCAAGGCTCACATCTAGACACGGGTCTCTGGTGAAATGAACTGGGTAACCTCGGCTCAGTTTGGGGGTTTGTGGTATGTGTGCGTGATAGTACCAGCATGATAGACCCTTCTCATGGGAAGCTCTGAAATGAATGAGGGGAAAAGAGGGTCCTGACATAGAAATCCTTCCAGATTAGAGATTGCCAGGCAATCCAGTGTGAATGCAGAGATTTGCAAGCAGAGGGCAGTATTTCATGCTAATAGTGCTAAGCAAGGGCTCGTTCTTGAAGTGAGTGCCTGGAAGAGTATTACAATGTCACTGTTGGCATTGAGCATCCTTGGGGAAGGTCAGCTGCAGTTTGAGTCCCTGGAGAGTTCTGCTGCTATGGGTTCCCTTAAACAAGACCTTCATTTGGCAGCGTTTTGAAGGCACTGGAACGCCAGATGTTGCCCCAAGCATTGTTCCTAGAGAAGTTGGTCCATAGCTAGAAGTCAGAGCTCCTTTTACACACGATGGAGGAGTCATCTCAGTGGAGGTAGGTAGGTTGATTCCATCGGTACCAAGATCTGTTTGCAACACAGGGAATAAAAGCTGCAATTGCCACGTTGTTAACATTTTCCCCTTGCAATAAAAATCATCGTTATTCTGTTTGTAACCTCACTTCGACTTGGCAGCCAGCAAATGATGCTTTGCTCCTATAGGAAGCTCATAGCAAACCCCCTGTTTTTCTAAGCAACATCTTCCATTGTGCTCATGATTTGACATACCGCTTGGCTGTTGGACTTCCTCCACGAAAGAGGAGGTCTGATTCACGGCACAGGATGAGCCATGACTCAGAAAGCCCAGCAGCTGTGGGTAACGCCCTCTGCTCTCTGTTGCTTTCGTACTAACGCAGCATCCTTGATGCGATGTAGCAGAAACTACAAGCCCAGAGAGGCCTGAGCAGCACGGACTGTGCCAGAGGTTCACATTCAGCGAAAGAACCAGGAGGGCTCTGAGCCCGTATGTGTGGCCCAATGCTTTTGTGACATCTAAAGGCAGGGCAGAGGAAAATCTTTGTTCTTGTTTCATCTGCCGCTGTGGAATAGTTGCTTTGCAGCAGAGCTCTCTGGGTGGCACTGCAGGAGTGGCTATGGATGGGGTTATCCAAGCAGAAACAGGAAAATAAGCCTTCCTCTGCTTCCTCCACACAGCCGGTTAGGTTAGGACAGTCCTTATGGCCAGCGTTTCTATTCAGGTCTTTTGACTGTGGTTTTTTTGGTTTGGTTTGGGGTTTGGGGGTGGGGGTTTTTTTCCCTTTTTTTTTTTTTTTTTAACCAGCACAGTTTTTCAGGCAAAATTTGATTTACTATTTGTCTTCAAGCAGAAAAACAGCCATATCCCAAGAAGCTTCAGGTTAGATGTGAAACCACGCAAGAACGTGCCACCACGTAAGCTCCACATTGCTGGAGGCTCTAAGGGCTTGCACGTTCTTCTCTAAGGCCCCGTTGCTTTTCTCCCAAGCCCTCCGATGCCCTTGCCAAGGAGCAAGCTGGGCCCCCCCTTCCTTACCCTGAAGAGTTGAAACCGGAAGAGTTCATCCCAGCTTTGGAGTTGCTCTGGGCTGTGCCGGGGCTGCTGGCATGGAGTGCACTGCCGGGGGACGAGGGCCTGCTAGAGTTCCCTGGAGAACACGATGATGTTACTGTGTAGCAGAGAAAGCAGCATAAGACTGGGATCTCCTTTCTTCCTGCCAAGGACAGCCCAAGCCCAAACACTTCCACCATATCTTGTACCCATCCTGTTGCTCATCTGAGTCACCGTCTGCCCTGCAGCGGCAAGGCAGAATCCGTGCCCCAGCCATGGAGACGGTGGGGGTCTCCAGGCTGTGGGGTTCTCTCTGTGGCGCTTGGTTTCTGTTACTGTGAATCGCACTTCTCCAAGGAGATCTGACAATGTTCTGCTGAAGAAATGCAGTAACCTACCCCCAAGCGCTCCTCTTGTTTGGCTTCCAGGTGTGCCTGGCTCCCAAACCTGTACACCTCAGTAAAATTCACCCAGGATTATCCTGGGAATGTTATTGTGCCCAGGAAGCTTTCCGTGTCTTTGCTCCAGCCAAGAGAAAGACTCAGCTGTTCTTACCCCTGGTATGCTAGTTATGTGGGGACACCTTCCCTGGCCAAACCCAAGGGTCTTATTGAGACTGGCCTGCAAACGTGACCGAGAAACCAAGTAGTCAGAGAGGAAGAGCAGAGGGAGGAGGGAAGGAATGGTGACGCAGGTTTTCCGAGACTTACCAGTCCCAGGCATGGTGCTATGCACGGGATTGACGGAGAGGGGCCCCAAGGACCCTGAGGTAGAGACCTAGAGAGAAACAGAAGCAAACAGTAAGCAGTTGGCACTCTGAGGGCATAGATCACAAAACGCCACTCCTCTCACATTCCCTTTAGAGTGTGCTGGCTCCCAAGCAGACTTCTTATCTACATCTGAGGCTCCCACAGATATTTCTATTCATACTCTAGCACCATTCCCATGTCCAGGGCGATGAAAAGAAACCAGAATGAATACTACATGTGCTTGACACTCTCTACATATGTCTGAATTTATGGATCGGCTATGGAAAAGCCTGAAACTATCAAACACAAGCCAAACTTTCTGAAGTCCAGAGATCCAGTCGGTAGGAGCTGCTGCCCTTTGGATGTTTCAGACTGGACATTCTCAGTCTGAAACTTCCCAGCTCACTCTGGTCTTGGGCACAAATAATCCCTTTTCTTTTAGGGAGTTCTTGACAAGTGAGAATTCTCAGGTGACAATTAGTAATTTGGTGGCTGCAATCAAAGCGAGCCTGGGGCATTTGCTGTTCAACCATGATGCTTTAACTACAGGCAACACGTTGTTCAGAATGACTGATGAGCAAAGGCATATTTTATACAACGCATTTGCAGGGAAATTATTCACCAAAGCTACTGCTTTAAAAAATTCATGGCTTGCAAGCAGCATTTTGTGTTTGTGACTGTAAACCAAATGTGTTGTGCAACAAGTGACCAAACTTCTTGTGATGTTTTCCTGCCTTCTCATGGATAATTCCAAAACCCAGAAGATTTCAAGATAAAATATTGCTTGTGATTACGTACTCTCCCTCCCACTCACATGTGCCCCAGCACTAACAACACCGTAGGGAGGTTCCTGCCACTTTTTTATGTGGAAGCAACTAAGCAACTATTAACTAGCAGAAACGCAACAGTAGCTTGTTATCCACAGTAGCCACTGACGGCAGATCACAAGGGCACGCTTTTACCAACTCTCACAATGGTTGCCCTTTTCCTTGTTCTTCCTGGCAATGAAAATATGCTTGCCAAAATGTGAATGTACAACATGAGAGAAGGACAGTTAGCATTCCTGAAGTGTACTCTGCATTTCTGCACAGATGTAAGCCAACAAACTGATACGTAAATGGTTACCAGTAGGTTTCAGAGTTAACAACTAAACTGACATGAGTGCATGTAATTCTCATTCCATGGAATGCTGATTCCTCCTCCACTAACTTTAGAAAGCTTTTATTTACCAATCTCAGGGTGAAATGTTTTGGGATAGCACCCCTATTTGTATAAATTATCCTACAATTAAACTGACCTGTACCTTCTAGGAAAACTGTATTTTCTTTCTACTATTTTCTTTAATAGAATAAAAATAAATGTTCTGTAAATGTGGGCATGAGATTGCATTAAAATTTGGAAGTTGACTGTGTGCCCAATCTGTGGCTAAAACAAATGCACACTCCTGCAGGTATAATCCCGCCCCGGATTGTGGAGCGGGCTTGCAAGCGACTCAGGGACTTGTGTGTACAAGAAAATGTCCTGTCCTATTTCCTTTTCCAGCAAATCCTCCCACCCTTTTCTCCTCTAGGATGGCATGTAGACCTCCCTATTGCCAAGTCTCTCACCAGTCTGGAATTGTAGATAGGTGATTTGATGGGGGATGGCATCGGGCAACTGATCCGTTTTTCCTTCTGGCGCCGGTTGCAGAACCAGACCCGAACCACCTCCTTTTCCATGGAGAGCTGCTCTGCTATCAAGGATATCTCCTCTGAACTGGGCTTGGGGTTCTGCTAAGAAAGGGCAGGAGGTTAAAGAAAGCCCCAAAAAGCTGTAACTGATGGCATCAACGTATGCTTCTGCTGTTGGAAAGGTGGAGGGCATGTGGGGGTTGGCTGGGAACTCGGGAGGAGAGAAAATTTGCTTCTAAGACAAAGGGTAAATATTTGGTGAGAGTTTATGTTCTGTGAACCAGAAAGTGCCTCTGATTCAACATCAAGTCTCACAGAATCAGTGGGGGATGAGTCACAGTACCTGACCCTGTTATTGCATAACGCACCGCACTCTTTGATCTTAACAGCACCCTAAATCGTTGCTTGGGGGGGAAGCTAATGACTGATGGTCGTCTTATCGCTACGCAGGACACACGAGCTCCGAGTGCTGTTTGTACGCCTACATGCACCATCTCAGAAGAGCCATTTCTTCCTTTCTTCCTCCGCCCCTCATTTATAAATGGAAATAATAGTACCCTTTTTTTTCCTGACTCATTCATTTTCTGGTGCATTTGACAACATTTAGCTCGATGGGTTTTGGTCTGAGTTGGAAACTTGAGGGTCAAAAATACCTAGCACAGAGATGTCAAGACAGTTTTCCCATTCCCTCATACTAGCTAAAAATGAGGTACCCATAATGATCTGACAATGACTGTCTTTTGTTCTCATGAACAGTCTTAGCATGAAATTTTGGTATGATCAGATATGAAGGAGAAATCAAGAAAAAATGAGGGCTGGTCAAAAACAGTTTTGATGAAAAATTTTCAATGCACAATTTAGTCCTACTGATTTAAAGCTCTGTTTGCTCTCTGTAATGATTTTATTCTTGAAAATCTTGATGCTTAAAAAGTAAAAGGCTCTACTTCTGAAATGATTCAGCAGCAGTATCTGGAGCAACTAGTTCTGTGGTCTCACAAGACCTGCTTAACAGGGCATCCATTTCTGTGCTGCACCGTGGCCACACAGTTCCCGCGGCACACGCCTGCAACTGGCAAAGGGAAGAGGTGGGTGCAGGAGCTCAGCTTCGACTGGGGCGCTGATCAGTGGGCGATGATGGGGAGGTGTGGCGATGAAATTGTAATTCCTTTAAAACAACATTTACCAAGGAAATAATTGGGTACGATTTCTTTGGGTTTGACACTTTTCCTCTGTTAACCCCTTCAAGCATTTTCTAACCTGTTATCAAACAAAAAAAACCAAAACAAACAAACAAAAAAAAGAGATCTCTCTTTTTTTTGAGGATTCAGTGCTGCTATGACCTAGCAAATACCAAACTCAGAAAGAATTCACAACACATTGAAAGATTTTCCCCTCACATCTTGAAATCTTTTCTCCAGCGTGGAGCGAATGTTGGTCTCAATGCTGGTTCGCTTCTTTCTTTTCCGTCCAAACATCTCATTCACTGAGGGGTAGGAATTGGGAGTGCTCATGGAAGAATCCAAAGGAGCAGATTCTGGGGAAAAAGGGAGGGGAAGAGAGACATTAAAGAAGGTAATTAGTTATTTTCATTCCTAGATCCTTTCTGGGAACTATGACACCTCCTAAAATAAGTAAAACGTTCCTATATTGTGGATCCTTCCTCTAATAATGATTAGAATTGTTCCAACAATTTTGTCCCAAATCCATCGATGATTTTTTCCAAAACAGGAAAGAAATGAGAGTGCTAAAATTTTAATCAAGACACTCTTTTTCCTTTTTTGCAGCTTGATTTCCAGCCTGTTCTGATGGGGACCACGCGTTTTCCAGTGATTTAATTTCACACAGCTAAAGACGGTGACTTGCACTGCTGAGATCAGGCCTCACATAGCTGAGACACCTCTCGACACCAACTGGTCCAACGTGTGGCTCCCGAAGGGCGGGTGAAGCACATGAAACTAATGCCACTCCTGCAGTGGTCTGCAGCCAGCAGAGGACACCAGCCCAATCCTGCTGCTGCTGCCAGGGATTCCCCTTGCCGTGCTACCTTTCTTTTCTAATTACTGCCCATGGGCACTTGGGGAGTCATCCCTTCCTGCTCTTTCTGGGACTGAATGGACTAGCCCAGTGATTTGCCCCAGGCCGTGCAACACAGCAAGAGGCGATGCAGGAAGGGACTGCCCCAGACACCAAGTTGCAATGTGAATCCTGTATGGTCAGAGCGAAAGAACAGATGTGGTTTGATATCTAGGCTGCTGTGCAACCTGCTGTGTGATCCTCAGAGGGAAGCAGTCTGTTACCAACCCAGCCACGGATCTGAGAGGTCTTAGCTGCAGCTCCAATGTTCCTGGCTTTTATTGGAGGTTCCTGGATGGATTCTCTCGTCCTGGCCCAGACTAGTGGCATTTCTGCAGGTAATGTCACCTACCTGCATCACTCAGCCACTTTTCCAGCAGGGGTTTGAGCTTGCACATATTCTTAAAGCTCAGGTTGAGAGCCTCGAAGCGGGAGATGGTGGTCTGGCTGAAATCATTGCCATAGAGCTTCCCCATGGCAAGTCCAACATCACCCTGCCAGAGGAGATCCAAATCACAGCATGAGCTCAGAAAAAACCCTTACAGCTTCCTGCTGTCATACCACCTCCCATGCTGCTTCCAGAATAGGTGCAGCCAAGTTTCCATGACACGCCTTCCAGAGACAGTGACTTCTCTTCCCACAGGAGTCAGCCCCACACCCCTGAGCCTTTGGTGTATTGATGAAGGTGCAGATAATGAGGTCACGGTAATGAAGTACTAGGAACGGTTTGTCTCTTCATGTGTTTGGAAGGGGTTGCTCCAAAGAAAGCCAAAGTGTATCTAATCCAGCCCTTCCTCCATCCACACCTCTGCCACAAAATTCCCCAGTCCAACATGTCCACATCACAAGTGACACCACCCTTCCCACCGATGAGGCTGCTTACCTGCGTGAACCCCAATTTGATTCGCCTTTGTTTGAAAGTCTTAGCAAACTTTTCCAGCTCCTCCAGGTCACTGGGTTCCTCAGATGCTCCTGATGGAGTTAGGTGCTTTGCCACTTGCAAATGTTGGGGTACGTCCAGGTGGGGTTCAACCGACGAGCCAGGGAGTCCAGAACGGCCCACAGCCTGTTAAAACAACAACAAAGACGCATAAAGTCACGACAACAGAAAAGCACAACATTTTCTCTGCCATTTGCCCTCAATGAAGCGGCACTTTTTGCAAATGGGTGCTTCTCAGGGTGGGACTGTATGTTGGGGCAAGTTACCTGTGATGCCAGGCTGGGTCCTGGTTGGGACAGGAGAAGGCTGCCCTGTTGCTGAGGGAAGGAGAGGAGGTTTGGCTGCAAAGCTGGTGAGAGAAGAAGAGATGCATCTGATCAGACCAGCTCCTTCATCAGCACCTAGGCATCTGAACATCACTCTGCACAGGAAAGGCTCATGAAGCTCTGAATGGAAAACATTAGCTAGCTCTCGTTCGAAATTTGAGAATTTCAGCCATTGCATATTTGGATGGGTCTGAGTTGGATTATAGAATCCCAGACTGGTTTGGGTTGGAAGGGACCTTAAAGCCCATCTAGTTCCAACCCCCCTGCCATGGGCTGGGACACCCTCCACTAGACCATTATGAGAAAGAAAAGGTTCTTTTCATGGCTTTTTAGCCTGCAAGGGATTATTACAATAATGACGTAGATAAAATATCTCACCCACTGATCCCTGCTCATTAACCTGAGGCTGAACTAGGGCATAAACATTTTACGTAGATAATCTAACTTTGATTTTAGATGCCAAACAGCAGAGTATTTACTACATCCATAGTGGTGATCTTTCCCAGCGCTGAATCATTGTAGCTGTTAAAAAAAAAAAAAAAAAAGAAAGTGCATCTTATTGCCAATAAAAGCTTTTCTGACTCCAACTTTCAGCCACTTGATCTTGTTAATAAAAAAAAAAAAAATTCTGATCCTGCAGTTAATCTCATGAGCATACCCACTCTGCTTTCTGCTATACATTTCGTATGAAGTGTCACTTTGAAGTCATCTGACCTGTTCTTTTCTACCCTGCTGTATTTCAAATAAATTTAATTTCTTTTGGAATATATAAACTGACATAAAATGATGAGATGAAAAAAGAAGGGAAATCTATAGAACTAACAAAAACTAGTATTTATGGAGACTGCGTAATTGTTTAGTTGACAAACTGCCAAGTACAAGCCTATATCTCTTACAGGGAACATCCTAAAGGATTAAGTAGCGACCAAAGCAGTGTAGTTCCCTAGAAATTTAGTTAGGTTCTTCAAGTCTGTTGTGGGAGAAGCCTATAGAATTTACTGAGGATTTATAACCTTTCTTGAAACAGTCAATATATTCTATTGATTATAACTGACAATTATAGGGAAAACTATATAAATTTATGGACTTCTGCTAAAAAAAAAAAGGAAAAAAAAATCATCTCCAGAATCAATCATTCCCCCCCCCCCCCTTTCTGTCTTTCCTTTTTTAATTTAGATCTGAATGTGCAGGATCCCATTTATTTATTTAGATTGGTGTTTCAATAAGCCTTCTCTAATGCTGGAACAACTTTGAATTTCAAATGCAGGCTGGTAATGAGGTGCACATTTTTAACAGTGAAGGTAATTAATCACCGGAATGGCTTGCCTAGGGACATGGCGGATGCTCTGTCATTTGGAGTCTTTAAAATCATGATTGAACACCTTTGCGAAAGCTAAGCTCTAGCTGAAATGAAAATTATGGTCTGGATTCAGGAATCACCGGTTTGACAGTTGATGAGACCGAGGCTGTGTTTTCATAAGATGAAGACTTCAGCAGCAATATTTTGGCTGACAGTATTCTCAGCATCTACCTGGCTGCTTGTTTCCACCTTCATGGCACAGAGCTCTCACCCCCTTCTTCAAGCGTGCCAGCACTAGCTGCAAAAGGGCTGCGCAACGAATCGCATCGGGGCATAATGAATCAGACCTGGGAACTCACTGGCTTAAAAACAGCTTTAAAACACGAAAATCAAACCAAACGTGTGTCCTCTTGGAAAGGTTAAACCCACAGCCAAGTCCCTTTGTCCATGAAATCCACGAACTGATGTACCCATCAGTCAGAACTCAGGGAACGTTGAGGTTGTTCCCATGATGGCCCGAGGGACAACTTCAGGAGCATTTCACGCATCTCTCTGGTATGAGGAACGTTCCACCTGTATCTGTACCAAACAACTAATTCCACAAAACCAATCTGTGCCTTCCCTTTCAGTCCCCAGCGGCTGTGCATGCACACGGCAAAGGGTCATTAAAACCTGGCAATCGTCTATTCAGATGGAAGTGCTCTTGCACAAAAAGCTGGCTACTGGCCAGAATATCCAGTCTTTATCAAGTCTGGAACCAAAAGGGGTCATGGCCAAACAAGTGGCCATCTGTTGGAGGGGTTAGAACTGCCAAAGGAAGTAACGTAGCAGAAGAAACTCTCAGTCTATAAAAGGAAGCAAGATCTGTTTTCCAGTGTAATGTGTTTCCTATTATGCATGAATAAAAGCAGACAGTAAGCAATAGATTATCCTGACTCTGCCATTTCAAACAAACTAAATTCTAGATTATTGTTAAATATACATCAAGTAGTTTCCTTATACATCACTCAGCACCATTTGGCAGAGAGGAGAGCATATATACTGCCAGTGAGAAGCAGGTTTCCCACTTGCCCACAATATAATATGCTTTTGGAGCATATATACCATTGCATTCAAGCCGCAGCGATTTTAAGGTTTTAATACTTAATTTTCAGTCACACGCAGGGATCTCGGTGTTGGAAGAAATCAAGAATGCGAGCGAAGGACCAAAGTCCCTTTGCATATGTCAGGTTATAGATCAAAGACTATGTTTGTCTGCCCACAAGCAGCATAAAACTTCCTCCATAGCATGCCTGTATCCCCGTTGTTGGAGAAATGCCACAAAAAATATCGGTGGTAAAAATAGAAACACAGGGACTTTCTCAAGCACGGAGTTCAGTCCTTAGTCCTTTCGTCCCTTTCACGAAGCTGGTTACACTCTGTTTCAGAAGTGCTTAGACCTCCTGTCCTCTCCTGCCTGCCCCACGGCTTGGGGCGAGATTTGGGAACAACCACTGGCAACTCCAAAACTCTCAGCTCTCATCCCTGGGTTGCTCCTGGCTAGGTTAGATCTGTCTGTTCTAGTGCCAGCATCGTCCTTCTACTGGAGCAGCTCAGCTCCTTCCCTGGGTTTACTCTCCCTCTAAGGTACTTGGAGAAATCGGCTCAAGCTCTCACCAGCTTTCTGGAAGAAATGAAGAGCGCTAACCCCGAGAGACTGGGAGCCCAGGCAGGCTGCGACTGCTCCCCAAGGAGCAGGCTCCTCGCTGTCTTGCTGAAAGCCAACCAGATGCTGCCCTGAATTTCAGGGGTGGGATCCCTACCAGGTCTGCAAAGACCGGCCCCAAGGTGGCACTCGTGGTGCACACAAGCCACAGGTGCCAGGAGCATCTCCTTAACTGTACCCTTCCCGGAGCAACTACATGCCTACGGGATCATCCCAGGTGTGGGAACCAGCACCGGGGAAGAGCAGGGGAAAATGCATCCGGTAACACAGCAGGGGAACAGACACCATCATGCTGGGAAAACGTAAGAGACCAGATTAAAAGCAGCAGTCACGAGAAGGGAGGTTTTTCCTAGATATGCGTCTGCTTATAACAATGTCCCTTTCAGCTTTTATCGCTCTTACCTTGTTGCCCGGCCTGAGACTGAGACAGAAGAAACTGGGGAACCGACTGCATGTGACCAGGAAGCAATACAAGCTGCTGCAGGGTGTGAAGAGAGCTCATATCCTATGGGAAAAAGCAAAGGGAACAACAAAACTCAGAGATGTCTGCTCTTCACACAGCGTCACCTCTCCTATAAAGCTTCCCTGCTCTTTTATACTGTCCTTGACCTCATTCACACTTTTCATTTAATTGCCAACACACCGGACTTGTGTAATTCACGCACTGGAGAGCTCCAGGATCTGAAGTGTTCTGCTATATAAGAAGAATTCTGTGCACACACAGACATCCACGTGGAGGATTGTCTACTTTGATCTGAAAAAGTAAATTCTTGAAAAATGACATTTTTGAGGCACTGAAAATCAAAACCCGGTTGTTAGAAGAAACAGTGAAACCTCCTGGATTTCAGTTTCTTCCAGGTAACGTATCTTCAGAGAGCAAACTCCCTAAAATTACACAGTAAGTTGCAGCTGACTGTCTCATCGCACGATCACTGAGAGCCTACTTTCCACAGAAGGCTGATTTCCCAGCCAGCCATATGCTGAGATGGGAAAGAAGCAATGCCTGGAAGCACCTGATTCTCTGCACCAACAGCAAACACGTTGCAATGGACACAGTGACCAGATGCAAAACTATTTCCTGTTCTTTCCCATGTAGCTGCCAGGAATTCCCCACCCCGCATTCAGCAGAGCAGGTAATAGGTGCTGCGAGATGAGGATTCAACCCTAGTGCTCTTTCACATTACTGGGGTCCTGCCCCAGGTCCGTTGTTGGGCGTAAGGGCTTGCATTTGCTAGGGACAGACACACACACACACACAAAATTTTACCCCAATAAGATCAACTCTCTTTAGAGGTTCATTTTCAAAGGAGCTCATTACTCAATAAGATGAGCTCTCGGAGCTTCTTAAGAACTGTTTTGAAGCCTTGTGGAACTTGAGCAGTCCCTGAATTGTGTAAGGGATCTGAATACCCCACGAAAGCACGAGGGAAGAGATTACTGAGCTGCTGCATGGCCTCCTGGTATCTAATTCCCACTGGCGTTTAACAGGAGTTAAGCACTAAACTCCAATTTTTTACCGTAGAAAAACAAAAATTCCCTTAAGGAATTAATTTCTTCTCTGGTGTAAATCAATCGGAGCCAGCATATTCAAGGATGGCTATACTGATTCAGTTCAAGAGTTAATCTTGCCTAGGATCCTATCTCCAATAATGGCATTAACCAGGCGTTCATGAAACAGGAAGACCAGGGCAACATATCTAACACTTCCCCCTTGGTGTTGTCTCAGCCTTGAATTATTTTCAGCTCAAGGGATTTCCTGAGGATAGGTTTGCCTACTTAGTAAACCCTCAGAGGAAATCTCTTCCAAGTACGTGTCCAGCCTACCTTTGATCCCATGTAAAACTTTCTGCAGAAAAGAAAGAGGCTGAGGAGGAAGCTGACTTTTGCCAGCACAGATTCACTTTTCCAATTTAGCGTCCATCATGCCCTCAGGTTTCCTTTTGTCACTGTCAAAAGGCGTACGTAATTTGGCAAGTGTCTCAAAGCCAGCCTCTTCTCCAGAGGTTCACTAACCAGTGAGCAACTTCAGACTTCTGGATCCCTGAAGCAGCAAAGTCACTTACCCCGGCGATTTGGCTTCCGGGCATCATTGATGATCCCTGCACGAGGTGACCTGACCTAGGGGGGATTGTAGATTGCAAGGAGTCACTGAGGTCTTCGGTTTTAATCTGAAAAAGAGCAAAGTAACTGTAGCATTAGAGGGCAGACACAAGGGGATGCAGAAGGTCTGGGATGGCTGGGAGGGATCGGGAAGGGGCTCCTTTCAGAGAAAAGTTAGAGGTCAGGTCACTGCCTGCTTCCATCGCTGGCTTTGCAGAAAGGCATGGTCATTCCCCACATCTGCTCTCCACTTGATGACATGGACATAGTTTTCCTGCTCTGCCAAGCCAAGGGGAGGCTTGCAGTTTGCTCAGTTAAAACAAATTAATTAAAACAGTTTAGGAAGCAACCAAGTTCCAATGACTTAGCAGGGTTTTAAGGATGTGAGTGCTTTCCTCAGAAAAAACACTGAGGCATTTCGTGGAGTTGTGAGGAAGACAAGAAGCAATTCCCCTTTACAGATCACGACTCACAACCCAACGGGCAGGGTTGGCTGCAGGTGGCCTCTCATTTTATTCTGCAGGTGGCAGAGAACGGTACAAAGGGATGGGAAAGGTCATGAAGTAAAAGACCACGATAAGCCGCGTCATTTTCCAAACTTGAAAATGCAGCACCCCAGGCACCAGCTCAGCTTCTATCAGAAAGCAACAAGAAATTGTACTGATCAGGCAAGGAAAAAAGAGCTGGAAAACTTCACAGGTGTCAGCCCCTTGCCCAGTGGTCATTTTGACCACTTTAATGTTCAAGAAAGATTCCTATCTACGAAAAAAAAAATCACGATTCCTGAGTCCACATTCTTAAGAGAAGAATTTGCTCGGGGACCAGAACTGAATCCTCGTGTCTGGTTTATTCCATAGTTTCCATGTTGATTTCTAACATTGTTACTATGTTAAAAACCAACCAAACAAAAACCTGTTACATCGCTTTGTTCTGGCTGAAATCCTTTCGTAAGGCTGGCTGGGACAGGAGAGAGGGGAACCTGGTTGGGTAGATTTTAGAAGTTTTTAGATTAATTCCCGACAGCTGTCGGAAGAGTGTCTATATGCAGATGCCATGCACAGGAGATAGTCATACAGAGCTCTTATAACACGTTTTCTCTAAGAAAAGATCCAAGCAAACAATTTCCAAAACCAGGCTCAAGTTTTTCCTCAGCGTGAGAATGCCTGGCACAAGGCTGACACGATCAGTCTCATTCCTCGCCTAAGCCTTTCCAGTGCAAGAAGAGACTCCAGTTCCCACAAACTGGAAAAACCAGGAGGACAGCAGAAAGGACATGTCTTGAAAGCCCTGTCCACAGGCTCAGCATTGCAGATTCACTCTTACTACTAGGGCTAAATCTCATCATCTCCCACCAAATTACTCCCAAGCCCAACACCCCCCAGAAGACAAGCGGGGTCGCGTTTGCTGGGGTTTTGTGGTGCTGATGTGGACTTCAGATCATACAGCCTCCTGCCAGCAGAGGGGGACAAGAAATTCAGCTTTTAAAAACAATGGCCCAAGCGAATGTTTTTGGTTGAGGGAGGCTGTATTTCAATTTGACTAAAGCAAACAAATACACAAATCTCCACAGGAGCAAGAGCAAAAGAGAAAATGTGATCACAAGAGGCTGGGAGCTGCAGTGCGGGGAGCTGGCCCTGTAACATTAACCTCTGCATCTTGGAAGGTGCTACGCAGAGCAAAGAGAATTACAACATCTCCTTTCATTACAGCTATAGCTCTGGACACTGCCGAAACTAGTTTTGCAATAATACTAGATCCTTGCAACAAGAGTTATACATGCTACGAATTCCAGTTCTTTCCTACCTTTCAGGTTGGCATGATCATCCCTCTTAGCCTGGCGAAAACAATCGGATGGAAAGATCTTCTTGATCACTATCAATGCGGATAGTGTTTAAGTTACTAAATGTTAGACAAAAGGCTCAGGAGAATACACCGTTACCCCTGAGCCATCCAGTCACTGCAGGCAAACGGTCTTATGCACGTTTTTCTTTCTGAGGGTGCATTAAAAAAAGAGTCATCCGAGCCAAAAAGCAAAAATAAATTAAAAAAAAAAAAAATTACCCCTGCTTGCATTTCATGTGTGTCTGCCTCACGTAACGCAGTCATCCAAGTCTGAACAGTCCCAAAAAGAAGTTATCCGCGTCTTAGAGAACAAGGCACTTGATCCCGCCTAAGTTATGATCCCAATAAGAGTAGAGTGTTGAAGAAGCACAAGCCATTTCCAAACTGAAATCAATTTTTACAGCTGCCAAACGGAATGATTTGGAAGCGTTCCAGGGTGAAAGGGGTGTGTAGCTGCATCCCGGCATCGCACAATATGAGAACAGGAGGTGGGTTTGGCAAAGGACCGGTTCCCGATTTAAAAACAACAACATCTCCCACTGCTCCTTCCCCCGTCCCTGGAATTCTCTGGCTCCCTCCTGCGCAGTGGGCGGAAACCTGGGTGTTCTTGACAAATCCTTCTTCTCCCCTGCACCTATTTTCATTGGGTTTAGGTTCAAATTTACCTCTCCCTCCTCTTCCTCCCCCCAACAGGCCTGCAGCTGGCTAATTGTTCTCTAGCGAGAGTTCGGGGTATATCCAAAACTTTTGGGATGGTTTATGCAAATACTGCACCTTCGTTTTTTCCCTGGCTAAACCGGCAGTATTACCAACTGTACATTAAAAAAACCAAAACCAAAAACCCCAAAAAACCACACACATTGTGGGCGAGGCCACTCAATATCATGAGACTCCCTTAAAATAATGTAAATTTCAAATTAATAAAACAAGGAGAGGAGTTGCCTTTTCTTTTCCCAGTGCGTCTGACTTGTATTTGCAGGCATTTTCTACAAATATGAGAAAAGTTTTCTGTAAGGAACCAAAAAAAGCTCGACATGATCACAGAATCACCTCACAGAGGCATTTGATGAGAACCCTGCTAAAAGATGGCGAGTGAGCAACAATGGTTTAGTTAAAACCAGGACCAGATCCCACTGTGGTTCCTCAGGACCTTGGTTTTACATGCCAATCAAGCCAGACTGGAACAAGAAGGCGCTGAGAGCAAACCCAAGTTTCCTGCCATTGAATTTGATTGGGGGGAATATCACTCTCTAAGGAAAAATGAACTTGTGAAACAGCGGGACCCAGCAACGCACTGCAAACACATCCTGAGCACTGACGCCTCGGGAGAGGCACGGAGCCTGGGTTGCCAGCTGCGAATCCACAGGGACCTTCTTCCCCTTGGAGCAGCTGGGCTGGGAGCAGCTTTGAGCTCCTCCGGAGGAGGTAACGGCAGGTGGCGGCACCGGTGCGTAGAGCTACCTACGGCTTCTCCGGGGTAGGAAAGGAATCACGCTTGCAAATCTCAAGTGGATGTTTTCACAGCCTTAAAATAGGGTCAGCTGCCCCCAAGCAATCAGAGTGAAAAACACAGGAAGGGTGACTGGGTGGAAAGAGAGTCCTTTCCTTAGTTGGCTAGCACATCTGCTGGGCCTGGCCAAGGATGGATTGTTTCTTACCTATCTCTGGCCTAAAAACAAAAACAAAAAGCAAAACAAACTAAGAAACATATTGAGGGCGATGGAAAATGATCAAAGCTCTTCAGCTTGCTTGCGTAACCGATTTGTGGAAGGTGTTTCATAAACATTTCATAAGAAGGAGAATTATGAAGAAAACATCTCCCAACCTGCCTGCAATTACTGCACAAACTCTTCCTTACCAGTAGGAAGAAGGGGAGGAAAAAAAAAAAAAAGTAAATCTGTTTTGTAACTGATCTGTGAACTTTTGGCAAACATTCGGCTCATGAAAACATCCTGCAGACGGATTGCGAAGATGTAAGAAGACAGCCTTACATGAGGAACTTGGAAAGATACACCTTAGCAGCTCTGATTTCACCGCGTGGAAGGCCATGCCTTTCCGACAGACAGACCGACCCACATCTGATTCAATGGACTGACGGCCGGATCCCATCTGTTGGGCAGGACTCTGGCTGCAGCCCTCCTCGTGTAAGCCCAGCTTAGGGTCACTGCTCACTGGTAATCTGGTCTTCCTCATCTATTAGACACCAAAGCAGCCAGCCTGAATGCAGCCCCAAGACACCTCCTTTTGATGAGTGCTTCTGATGTAATGTAAGCACTGCTCCATCATCCTCTTCACAAAGATGGGACCCACTGACTGAGTCAGCACCCAGAGCTTCAGATGCTCTCCCCAAATCTAGATAAGAGACCCCCGTACCCTGCCAGAGTGAGGCCGTTAAAGCCGTGTCAGCCTTTTCCAGTACCAGTTATTAGGCAGGACCTGCGGTCCTTACTGTAAGATAGAAGACAATCATATTTGTTGTGTAGTTTCTATTTAGACAGTAACCTCTTTGAAACAGATATTTATCTGCCTTCGTATCTGGCTTATCTCATAGTCAGCAACTCACAACTGATGAAGAGTTTGACTTACTCATACCCCCACTCCCTCCGTTACAGAACGGTATGGCTATTTCACCGGCTAGAAGAGGGTCAGGTGCGCACAGGGGCTCTGAACCCGTCGCCCCTCACGGAAAACAGACGGCACGGTTCTTCCAGGGCTGAGTCACTCCCAAAGCGCTATTCAATACAACAGGGCTGTCTGAAGCTGCCCCAAAGCGATTCTCCTGATCTCAAGGGAGGAAGTTTTATGATAGAAACAGGTATCAAAACTAGATCCGAGGCTATTGCAGCTAACTAAGCCTCCCCACCTTCCAGTGGCATAAGTGTACTTCTCTGTGAATTACCTGCACACGTGGGCACCATAAAATAAAAAACACACTAATAATAAATTATAGCAATAATAATAATGGGCTTGCAATTACTATTTCCACATGTACTATCCTGCACGTACGGCAAAGCTTAACAGACACCCAGGAAGAAAGCAGAAAACCCTTCTGTCAATGCAACGATATTCACCCTGTAACATTTAATATCCTTTCACACCAAGGGGTGGGATTTTTCAAAAGCTGTCAGCATGACAAAAGGGCAGTTAATCCCATGCTGAATGCCTAACAGACTGTATCCTAAAACTCACTAATGACAGCACACTGAAAAATTAAAATGTAATCCCT